CTCCCACCGGAGCGACTATCTTAAGCTGAACTGTACAGAAAGGCTTGGAGAAAAGTGGCGTCACTGACCAACTCTGACCCATCTAATCTGTGATCTAGATGTACAAAGAAATGTGCCATATTTCCTTCAATCTTTCCTGTTTTGGTTTCAAGGTTAAGCCAGGTGATAACAGTTTGGGTATTTAAATTTCACAATCAGTATATTTAAATTAGTCAACCAATTTGCAGCCCAATTAATAAACTGCAAACTGTATTTCTAGCAACGCCGAGCCTTGGCCATGACGTCAAAGCACAACTAGCAATGCCTTGATGTGCATGGATAATGTCATGTCTAATTCAAACCCATTTAGGCAACACAAAAGTGAGCATGCCTATTGATTTACAGGCTATTCGCTGGCTTCTTTTCATCATGGCAGGTTTCCTCATCGAGTTCTGCGTTCGCTCCGTGGTGCGTTTTTTGTGTTACAGACCCTTATAATTCATGTCTCCTGGAGTCGTGAAGAATTGGGTATAAGTACGCTCGCTGTAGAAGGGTAGAACATCTCTGACGTTGCTGGCGTCAGTGCCTCCACCGCTAACAAATGAATGCTGCTTCGCGCCTCAACAATATGGAGTGAATTTCAGTTAATACAGCCACGTAGACAGAATTTCTTTCAGGGGAAGAAAGGGGAGGAACGAATGCCAAATTTCCTTTGAACTGCTTTGAATTTGAACCGAATCTTGAGAGAACGTCCAGCATTTAGCGTATACATCAAGGGTCAGGGGAGCCATAACCACCACCCCATGGCTAAATTGGCTAGCCCCAGACACCCTGACACATGCAAAATTGGCTAAGTTTGCTAGCCACATGGCCAAATTTTGCTAGCGCTGATAAGAAGTTCAGCACACAAAGATATTTCGTGCAAAGATATTGTGTCTTTTTTATCTCGTGTCAAGACATCTTCAAAGTTTAGCTTGTGTCAACTATGTAAGTCCCAATCATGTAGAACGGGGACATTTTTAGAGTGTTGTCAGCTGATAAAAGCTTTCAGTCTTTTCTTTCCTCATTGTCCTAATGTCTGTCATAAAACGACATGCAACGTGCTTAAATGGTATATGAATTTCAATAGTATATGATCCCGATATGCTTATCTCGACTATGGACACGTTCAACGAATATTCTGTTTTATACATTGGCCCATATACAAAATAACGGCCGGTGGAACAACATTACGCAGAACTTAGGCAACGTTTCACCCTCTGGCGTTGTGCTTTTATGTGAGTTTGGCCTGCGGTAGGGTCGGTCTCACAGCCTCCCCAGATATCATTCACGTCCCAGTGCATGCACGGACCCTGAAGTGAGGGTCTCTGCACATCGCACGCCTCGAAAGTGGCGAGGAACCGGATGACAGTGCATAATAATCCTTTGTCTCCTTACTCTTACCTATGACGTCTCTGATTCAATAACTGGGGGGGGGGGGCGGGGGTGGGGGGTCAAGATGGGCGATTGGATTTTAACTTAAAGAAACAGGACGTCCATTCGGGGATGCAGTCTCGACAAATAGGCTGGTTGTGGCTTAGCGGGACGACGAATCAACCCTCGGAAAGAAATAGGGGACAATTTCCGAATTTGAGCCATTTTCTTCTTATAGCTAGGAGTCTGAATCTCCACTAAATCGGAAACCATTGACGTGCGTTTAATCTGTAACTGATCACTGTATGTAATCTACCCCTGCGACTAATATATCCCCGAGCACTATATCTAGTCTACCCCCTGGGTGTAATTCACACCGAACCACATTCTCAAGCGTGACGATTCCTCACGACTGGCTCACTGGCACCACTGGCACCACTGGCACTGGATCTACAGCACCAGCCCGATGTCATGCCGACATGTGCCGCGCGTTCAACAATGTGTTGCGGTGCAGCCTATCCATCCAGCGTGGAGCACCATCGCCATCTGTGAAGTAGATGACGCAACTCGGGCAACATCTGTATTGATGCAAACAATTTTGAAATGGTGTTTAGGCCGATGCAATTCAAATCTTGGCACTGTCACCTTAAGCTTAGAATTTTGTAAACATAAAAAGATTGATCGATTTTTAAGCAGCGCAATGGCAGATTACTACATTGCATTTCCTACTCGTCTATATCATTATGCGACTATTTCTACTATTTGCTGTACTTAATCTCAGATGTTTCTAAAATTTATTCAGTCATCTGTTAGTTATTGTCATTTGCGGGTTACTCAGATTTTACCCACCACTGTCTACTTAATCTTCCAATGCAACATTCATTAGCACTATTTGGTTTTCGCTGAACATGGTATTTCATTACACTTTTGAATACAGTTGTTGGGATTCATCGAAATACCGCCTTATAAATAAAGCTAAAGCTTCACTGATTCTAAAAACTGAGGCTTCCTCACAGGTTCATTTTGAATATAAATTTATTCCGAATGGTTTGCATGGGTGACTGGGTTCATAGTACCTGATAAGCATAGCTTGTTGCGTGCACCTGGAACCCACCATCCAAGTCATACCGCCCAATCCAACGGATAATTTTGCCTCCGCCCTTGCGCCAGACAAGAATGCGGAGTTTTTTAAGTGTCGCACAATGCTGCGGCACGCCCACCCCGGGCCTGGGTTGACCCTCGTTGGCCAGTTGTCAGCTGACCTTTCCATTTCAGTCGGGCCAGACAACGCGTCCGCTCTGGAATTCGTACCCAGTGCCTTAGTTCCTGCTAAATTAATCGTTGTTGAAGTCGTTCTTTGTAATACCTGAGTTCGTCACGCTTATCTTACATTTAAATGTTTTATTGGATAATTTCAAAAAGCAGCTCAGTACCGCAGGGCTTCCTTTGTTAAAACAGCCAACTGCGAAATATTAATTGTTAACAATCGTTGGTAATAAAGCATCTAATGATTAATAACCAAACATGAGTATACCTTGACAAGTAGATACAGGCCAATGCTTTTAATTTATATGCGAAATAACTAAAGAGTATCTGCAGAGCAACCGCATTTTTGCATGCAGTATGTGCACTCTTTTCAGGAAAAGCTTTCTTCATACCAAGGATAGAACACGAATATGAAATAGCTTGGTAGGCATGCGAAAAGTCAGATGAGGAGCCCAACAAAAGAAACCTGCAGTCATCATTCATCTCTTAGCTCATTTGTTTCCATGCATTACGCAATATGGACACCACGTTTACTTGACCTACATTACCAATGGCCGATGCAGTGAGTTAGTGTATGAAACACGTGTTGTAAGCATCACATATTGGGTGGAGATAGCAATCTCAAGTCTGTACCGGCTTCGAACTTCATGGAATATAAGAGGAAAAGATAGGTACGAAACGTGCATTTTGTTTGTGTGCATGAGTGACAGCAATGCTTTTAAGACTATTCAACGGTAATTTAATCAAATCACAATTCGATTTATTGAGAAAGAACACGATATATAAAAATCAATTTTGTGCTCGCCAAATGCACTGCACCGAGTTCATCAGTTCTTCAAAAGCTAATGACGAACAAGTATGTTTTTCAATAGTAAAGCTATTGTTGATTCAGATAGAAGGGAACGACATCGCGCCAATACATACCGTGCCCTGCAGGCTTGTTTGCGATCTGTATCTTCATATATGCCATTCTGACATTGACTTTAAAACGCACATACAAATTCCAAGAACGCAACATACGTTGCTCGATACTCACGGTGAGAATGGAGACAGATAAGGACCTCCATCTGGCCTAGCCCACCTTACTACGTGGCGAAACTTTCTCCTTCCTGGACCGCCGTTTATCTGTTAAAAAATTGTATGAACCAGTTAAAGTGGTAATATGCAACCTCTCGATCAGCTACTGCATTCGCTCAGGGTGTATCCTGGCGTATGCAACTGCAGTTGACAGCAGACTCGCCACTCCTCTGCGCCAGCGGCAGCGACCCGACAACGCGGCACAAGGCCATATCAGACTGGAGTGCATTGTAATGGTTTGGCGCACAAGCTTGCGAGGCGCATCACACTCATAACATTCTCCGTGATGCACTCACCGGGCACATATATTTGCCACTAACGGTTTGTTCATTATCGGCACGAGGACCACCGGCTACCTAGTTCGCTTAGAACTTCACGCCAAGAGCCTTTCCTTCCCTGAGGACCCATTAGATGAGCCCGGGTGTCATGGTAACGACCAATGGCGGCTTAACAAGACATTACTCGAGGTGAAATAGGCTGAAAGTGATGTGAGTGAAAGAGAACACGACAAAATATTAGTAACATGAAATGGCCCTGTCCCATATGCGTCTGCTCACGGCGCAATTCGTTTTTGTCGCAATAGTTTTTTTTTGTTAATTTGTCGCAAGTCGCAACACTTTCCAGGACCTTTAAACAAGCACCATTCTTTTTTACGTTCATTCAAAGGCATTCAGTGCGGCTGCCCATTAACTTTGTTCTAGCAGACTAACGCAGCATGTGTCCAGCCACCACCGCGGTGGGAGTACATAACAGATTCATCGGTCTTATTTGGCGCTTGTATCGCGCCTGCCAGTCAGGAAAGAAGCGCAGTAAATAATTAATTCACGCACTCTGATTTCTCCGCTTGGAGTACGACACACCAGTTACGCGGCACCACACCATAAGCAATTGTATACTTTGCGCTAAATCGATGCCTTTCCTCGATAAAAATATCATTTAAACCCCAGCTGATGTGTCCTTGTTTGCTTGGCATTCAGCTTAGTAGGCTTTATCACAGCATGGAGATGTTGTGCAGTGTATGAGGGAGGTGATTGTCTTGCTGTGCCTTTTTATGTTGCTTGGTTATTGTCATCGACGTTGCAGATCATCTAGAGGAGAAAATGATCGCACGATGACAACATCGACCAACACACATCAAAGACGCGCAGAAAGAGCCAACGGCCTTCAAACACGTGTCTCTCCATAAAAGCTCGCTTCATGAGCATCGCGAACGGTTGTGTATTCCAAGTGTGGTGAGCTCACGCCGCTCCTCCTCTGTGTTTTAGGAGCTGGCTACGGAGATGTTTTTGAGGTTTTACTGGACCGACAACCGGCTGGTTCCACCTGAGACGCTGCAGCCGGGCCAGTGGTTCAATCTGCACCCGGCCATATTCGACAAGATGTGGAAGCCAATTACTTTCGTAGGTAAGATGATCGTTTGCCGCAGCAGACAGCAAATGGATGGTGCGTGGAGGTTCTACATGAAGCAATTCTAAATGGTGGGGCTCTTAATGAAGCAATTTGAGTGATGTGGTAGCCGGGTTCACATTGCGTGGTGATGGCCGTCAATGCATTGTTAAAATGCGTTGAGTGGCGACTCTAGAGCTTGATCGTAGCTGCAGCTGCTGTCATGTCGCGATGGCGTGTTTTATTTTAGCCGAACTATTAGACAAGCAGCGGACAAGGTGCTGTGGCCGCCATGTTCCATTTGAGTGAAAGAGTTTCAGTCGTGACTCGCGGCTATCGTGACGCGATAGGGAGCCTGCTTCACTGTCACCAAAACAGTAAACATATAGGTCCCATCATGAAAAATCAAGACCCGTCAAGACGTTACTTTAAATAATTTGCAAAGTAGACAAGCATAAGGTTTTGCTAAACCAACGTTGACCTGGCGCCAAATCACTTCCCGGTGAGCTTAATCAGATTCCATTTCAGGATTTCAAACTGAGAGCTTACTGAGGTTCGTAAGATTCTGCACAATAGTCTCGCCGCCCCAGTTGGCAGTCAGGCACCAGCCTAGTTACAACTTGAATTTAAGCAACGATATACCAAGAACTTTATTATTGTGCTCTCGACGGTTCATTAGCTCATTGCAAGAGTTAATTAAATGCTCCAGGACACGGAAATTTCATGGAAGTTTTCGAAGGTCTGAATCGAGTTACATTGGATGCACCTTAAACCACGCAGAATTTAGGCTTTTGTTTGCGACGCGACGTTATTATAGATGAGCCAAATTTCAACATGAACAACATGCCTTGAGGTAATTATTTGTTTTTTTCAGAAAAATAACTTTTGTTAGGCAAATATACTTCCCGTTACAAGCATTCAAGCATCAGAACACGCACCATCGCTAACGATGATGTATATGGTGCTTCCATTAACGACATCATAAACGTTCCTCCGCCACCGCCGCCACCGCCGCCGGCGCCTTCGGAAGGACGCCCTGTAGCGGTTGCTGTGACATCATTTAATCATCATTTGGTAGGCGGCACTTTAATTTACGTAATGCTCGAGGACGGTAAATTGATTGGTCACACGGCAACTGGACAAATCAATTAGTCTCATGCTATCTCTTCAACACTGTCACCATATGTGAATGTGCTCCATTTGGTTGTCATGGGAAAGGCATAAGCCCCAATCGTGAACATTCGGTCCACCGCTATTGTTCCCCACTATAGGACACGCTGAGGTAGCCACTGCCAGCTGTATAAACTTAGGGCATCGTGTCCATCACATTGCAAGCCTCTAATTATGACTTCATTGCAGGGCGCACTCGACATCAGGGAAATGTCCCGCCTGGCGACTCAACAATGTCTGAGACCATTAGGCGTACTATCCGCCAAACCGATATCTAAGGTATAAAATCATTTGTACAGCCGGCACATCAGTCAATTGGGATTCAGACAGAAAGTTGTAGCCAATGCAGCCGCACCGGTGACTAAACGTGATGGACACTCCCTCCGTTTCGTATTTGTGTCCGGAGGGCACACTAAGCAAAGCCCCGGTCCGAATACTGAAGATTTTGACTTGTGAGAGGAATGAAACGGTGCAAAGCAAAGTGGTTGGGTCATGCAATCGCTTTGTCTTTCATCTATCGGACATTTTAAGACTACAGCAGCAAGTCATTTTATCGGGAGAATGTGGGCTATAAGGGAGCACATTTTTTGTCGGCCCGGGCTGTTGCCCCTTCCCCACCCTGTGTCTCGTCGAATGACCTGCCTGCGAACGCACGGATTACGAGCGTACGATGCACGAATTTTCAAACCGTTAGCATTTATGCCAATGCTGGGCATTCGAAAAACACCTGGGATGCATCCGCAAGGATGAAGTTGTGCTTTTTGTTTTGGTTTATCTTCAATGGTTATGCAGCGACACAAAATTTCTCCACAACCCTTTTCGCGTAACCATTATTAGACAGGGACACAATTCGATACCAAATGTGAAATCCTCGAGAAAAATAAACCGATGGTTTGGCACTTTCAACGTTGTCAATTTCCCATAACTTTTCACTGCGCATGCCTTGTTGCTTCATCGTCATGTACCTATTCGTTACTTCACCTATGCGGTATTTTATGATTCGGTCCCATGTAATCAAATGCACGAACGTAAAATAGCGAATCACTGCATGATGACAAAACAAAAATGTTTCAAGAGTTAAGTGGACCTGCTGTTTTGACGGACTGGATGGCAAACGATGAGTTTGTAACCCCTTGCTTATCCGAATGTCCGTACATTTCAGAGTAACGTGCCTGTGGAATGCAGTGAAACAAAATTAGGCGCCAGTCGAATAAGCACTAGCGTGAATGGTACTTGCATGGCTTTACGCGAACAGTGTGGAAGCAAATTAAGCTGCATGATCTCAATGCAATTTGAAGGATCACCAAGACCAGGACATCTACAGTGCAGGGAATTTTTTTGGACTTCGGTGAACATCAGAAAAATAGCACATGTCAGAATGCACATGTTCTGTCCTCTTCCCAGCTCGGTGTACTTTCAGGTGACACCCTAAGCATATCATACACGATACTGTGACGTCCACCACTTTAGTGACGAGGAATCATTTCTCTAAGCAAACCTTTGGAACAATTCTTAGTATGCAATGTGGCACCCATCGTACTTGTGTTCGGTGCCATAACATTAGACAAGCTGTGCCGCATTTCTCGTAGTCTCAACGGATTAATAAGGAGCTTTGACAGAAGTTTCTTTGGGTGCGTGGTGACAGACATGAATACTGTGTCCGTCCGACTGAATATTTTATTGTCAATTCCGACTCCACCCAGCGACTAGGGACAGAGGCTCTGCATCATCCAGCAAGTAGAGTCAGGGCCTTTGCGGCACGGTGATCGGAGTTAGAAGTTCTGTGCCAGACGGCGAAAGCTCGGAGACCCTGCTCCAGACGGTGAGCACAGTCGAATGTTTTTCATCGGAAGGGCGTTAGAGTCAGAGCTTTGTACCGAACGGAATTACTGTCACAGCACCAGCGTAGCGCGTAATATAAATTCAGACTCTCTGTGGTAGACGAGGAAGGTTGTCGGAGGCTCTTTATCAGCGGGGCATTAGCATTGGGAACTCTGAACCACGCTGAATAGTGTCAGCACTCTACGGCGACGGTGATCGTATGGCGCGGAGCCATCGGCGAGTAATGCCGAAGACTCTGTGCCTTACGCAAATCAGCGTCGAAGGACTCATGCCGGACGGTGAGTAGTCAAAAGCTCTGTGCCGTCAGGATGGTATAATGGGAGGCTCTACCAGCTCTGGGAGTCGCAGCCGGTGTCTCCGTATCAGGCAGAACATAGGATCAATAAAGCTCCTTAGCCTACGCATACGGCACGTCTGCACATAGTGTAAAGGATGCGGTGGGATCGAATGTTGTGATTTGCAAACACGAGTGTCGTTCCTTGCATACATTTGAGACACTTCGTGCAATAGGAAAATAAACATCCCGCTATCACTACATGGTAATGCCCGCCAGTGAGGCCAAGAAAACTTACAAGCTCACTTCTGCAAAGGTGTCCGGACAGTTGCCTTATGTCGCTGGATTTGAAGCGTCTCGTTCAATAATGCATCCTGTATTCGCTGGCGAAGACAGAATGGAAGGCGAAGAGAATGTCAGCCAGATTGCTTTCGAGTTAAAAGCAGATCACAAACTCGCCACATTGCTTGAGTGGTTTGAAATGCTGGTATGGCAACCCGACATCGAGAGTTCCAGAAAACTGGTCACAGACATCGGCTACCGATCATCAAAGGCTAACAGTGAGTTTGCTCCTATGTACAACACATAGAATTCTCATGATCATAAATTTGCAAGTGACGTGAGTACCTTTGTGATGATTTGATGTCATTGCGAGGCTTTTGCTTCACGAAGCAACAAATTTGTTAACAAGTGACGTCGCGCAGTTCATGAAAATGTGTCCGAACATTGCGTTGAAACAGTTGATGTGAATGCATTAACTCTCGTAAAACACGCAGCGGCATAACAAGAGGAAATATTCGTTCCAGTGGTTGGAAATTTACCAGAACAACATATGAGCATGGTTCGGAAGCAGAACATTAGATGGCAGCTGCCTATGTGGGGATTGAAACTATTACGCGTCGCAGTCGACTTAAAGCACGAAGCAACATCCTGACGGTACAGCACTCACAGACCGTGGTCTCGCATCGCTTTCCCTCGGCGATCTCAATCTCGCACGCGGGGATCGAATGCTTTAAATCTTAACTATTTGTAGATAATCATTACATGCACATAATTCATCGCTGCCTCATAGTCAGCGGCAGCGGAGAAGCCGCTCGTAACAAGCCATCTTTAAAGGTAATGTCCTACATTGGAAGATATTTGACGCAAGCATCATATATCATGAAACAAGTTCAAATGCAGCTAATAATATATTTTAAGCAGAACAGACTGCACTGGACAAAACAATTTCTCTGTTTAATAAACATGCTCCTCATTATGTGATTGCTTCCTTTCGTCATCGTTCCTAACACAACATTGATTGAGAGCCAACTGACGGTCGTTGTATCTGGAAATCGTATTCACGAAAGTCAGACACGAACAGCCCTACAGTTATATCTGTCTTGACCTTGATCACCGCATGGCCTATGGGGTGGTAGGCTTTGAATGGCGTTGCTAAAGCGTTATGCGTGCCCAAAGGACCTGTGAAATAGTCTGCACGAAATAGTTTGCACACATTCGCGGGCGTGTAGCTCAGAAACTAGAGGGGCCTAGGTCTTGAGATAGCAGGGCAGTGAACTGCACCGAATGATCTTCCAGATGGCTGTTTCATTTAAAACCCTCATGTAGATGTGGAACACTCCCGTTAACGTGTCCGCTTTGGCTGCCTACCTTTGGTTACACCTAACGCACGTTCCTAAACAACATTGCAGTCTTCAGGTATTTGATTTTAAAGTAGAAACATTGGACGGGT